AAATAAAGAGCGAAACAAAAAGCATGCACTCATGGTACTTCAAATAAACTGGAGTACGTTTCAATTGTATTAGGTTCTTACTTGCAAGCAAGTCGATATCCACCAATAATGGAGGTAGGATGAATTTTCTGTTTGACTAGTTCATCTGCATTTTTGAGAAGTTCTGCAGCAATAATTACCTGTTTAAAATACAAACACTAAATACATGTGTTCCATATAAGCAAAATAAGTACTTGCTACCACCGAGCGGAGGGTGGAATTGTGAAGGGCTGTCCGATGTCCACTCAGCAGAAACAAGAACTTGCAACCTGATGTTGCAGGTAGCTGCCACCTCAGGAAAAAGCCACCTGATTTTTTCCTTTCTTTTTCATCAAGTATTTAATGGACCAAAAGATGTCATAAGTCTAGGCAAGTTTTTACTACATAACATCCTTATTTATTAGCCCAACTACCTTTTGATTTCTCTTGCTGATTAGAAGTTCAGAACCTCAATTAGGAGTCAATCTTCAGAAATGGAAGAAATGAATAACGGAAATGCACTGAGTGAAGTCCATTCCAGAGCACTAGTTAAATCGGAATAGAATGGGAAACTAGCATCTCTAAAGCACCTAAGTCAGATTTCTTTATTCTGTAATCTGCTTTATAAAAGCCTCTTTGTATTCAGACAACTGCAAGATTTTTTTCATTCTATAAAATTAACGCCCATCACAACAAGATTCATAATGGGTAAATCAAAAGCTGCATTTTTGTCACGAAGCATGGACTTTCGCCATATCTGCCTGTAAAGCTTTGTACATACCACTGAAGTGGTCCCATCTCCAACTTCTTTGTCTTGCAGGTCTGCCAGCTCACAAAGAACTTTTGCAGCAGGATGTTCTACTTCGAGCAGTTTCAGAATGGTTGCACCATCATTAGTAATGGTCACATCCTAATTTTCAGAAATCCAATGTTAATATCAAATTTATTTCTATTATGTTTTCACCAGTTTCACAATATTTGTAAATAAGAACAGGAGATAGTTATTCTGTATGAAAACCCATCTTACGACTGACTATACTAAATGCTTACTCCTTTTTTTTTTTTTCTCCTAAAATCAGGAGTCCCATTCTACAGACCAAAATGTTATTGGTATAGAATTTGCACTCCTCCCACCCCATCAGGAAAGTCTTTACCTTCAAGAAATAAAAGATTCTTTAACAGAAACTCATCTACCTTTTTGCACATGCTAGTTTAGTTCCACACTGTACGGTCAATACCCTCCTTTCATGTCGTCTTTTAAGAGGATAAAAAGCAGCATCCACACTGCTTTGACTTTCAAAAATGCTGTAAAAGACTGTACAATTGGCGTAGAAATATACTTCAAAAAGGTTATGGGCTTATTTGCATTTATTCAAATGTTACTTCTCTTACTGCAGCAATCTGCATATACAAATCCACACCATCGTGAGGCCTGACATTAACAGCAGTACTCATTCCTATCAATTTGACCAACGTTACTAAGTATTAACAAGAACTTACATATAAAAAGAAGCCAGTTTTAATATAATAATTTACTACATTAAATTACAGTAAAACAACGTAACGCAAGTTTTGTGATAGCTGGAATGCTCCTTTTCATTAAAGTCATCCATTCCCCTCACCTAGCACATGGGAAAAAAAAAAACGTATGCGCACGTTAGACCTGTGAAACGCTTAAAGTGAAAACAGATATACAAGTCCTCCTGGTGCTTTTTACTTAAAGAAATATTACTTACCCCAATATCATCCACCAGCATCTTATCCAGACCAACTGGCCCAAGAGAACTCTTCACAATGTTGGCAATAGCAGATGCAGCAGTAACTGCATAAACAAAATAAAACAGGTTAGAGCCTTCCAACTTTAGGGGGATTCAGGCTTAAAAGACAATGTGGTAGGAACCCACATTTCAGAACACTGAAATAAAGTAACCTAATTTAGGATTAAGTTTCAGCAAAGCTGTGTAATGGCTTATTGCTACTGAAGAATGCAATCTGTGCCACTCCTCGTTTTTTCCTCCCAATTGATTCTGCTCACTAACCTGAACATAAGTAACTTCTCAGAAAAAGAAATGTTTTTGGTTGGGTTATTATATGAACGGAAGACATTACTGAGGTCAGAAGAGCTCTGGCAGTAGCTCAGTAGAGGTTCATAGCAGTACTTTTGGTAGCAGCAAGTCATGCCACGAAACTTCACCCCCATTTAGCCTCCAGCCCCACAAAGAAAGAAGCATGTTCAAGTACGCAGATACAGACCACAGGTATCGCCATATATGAACTAGCAACACATCTTTTAACCCTAATTAAGCCTGCGACTAAAACAAAATGCCTCTTTTGTAACTCAACCTAACAAGTGCAAAGTAGCCTTTGGCTACTGCTAAAGCAAAAGATTCCCCTCACATAGTGGCCCGTTTAAATGATGTTCTGCCAACCTCATATAGGAAAAAGATACAATCAACCTTTTCCTTCAGACCGTGGCAAGTTTTTCTCTATCCCACAAGCATAGCCACTTAATCTAGAAACCGAAAAAGTGGTAGTATAATGGGAACAGCTTGCTTTGAACTCTAAGCGATATAACTATTTCTCTTGCTTTGGATGAGTAATTTGCAACTTTCTGAGAGCAAATATCCCTGATATCATCAAGCCTGTCACTATCAGATATCTCTTAGCCATAAACTAACAAACCTCCATTTTCAGTGTCCAGTGTAAGTTATCCTAAGAACTGTATCAAACTCGAACAATGATCAAGAGCTAAGTCTTCAGCTACTTCTACCATTTACCTACTCAGGAACTGCTTTGAAAAACGCCACAGAATTTGCACCCTTGCCCCAATACTTAAATCTACAATTCTGAAAAACGTGAAACGCTTTTAAGAACCAGAGTAATGGCAAGACACTTATCTCGAGGACGATCCTCACCCCGTAAAGCAGGTTATTTCTCTTTCAGCAGTAGGGTCCCCACCCGCAGGCCTTACCAGTTCACGACCGGCCCCAGGAATGAGGGCCGCAGCTCGGCCTCGCGGGGGGGG